TTAGTAGTAGTAGAGAGAGAGAGAGAGAGAGAGAGAGAGAGGACGATTCCATGTATTTATTTTTTCGGTGCTTCACATGAAGAAACTAAAGAAACTTGGACTAGAAACTAAAGTAGTGTTCAGGAGGGAGTGAAGAATTAAAAAAAAAATTCAGATATTAATAATAAAAATATATTAAAAAATCAACATAAAATTAATATGATTCAATAAATTTTGTTTATATTTATCAAAAAATTAAAATTTTTATCATATGATATCGATTATAAGAACTTGAATTATTCTTCTTAAAGACACTCTCATAAAAAATTTACATTATTTTTTCTCTCTCTCTATAAACCATAGAGAGTTATTTCTCTAAATAGATGTACCAAAAATATTTCTTATGCACTCCAAAAATACATTAGATATTTATATAAGGATAAAACCCTAATTACTAAGGTTTTATTTCTTCACAAATTTTTTTTATGGTATTAGGATTCCTTATCCTGTAAGAATTTTGGTTTTAGAAATTTTTAAATACTTATTAATCCCAACAATTTCTTAGTGAGTATTTTATCTATCTTTACGCCTTTAAAAAAAAAAAAAAAATTTACCTTGCGGTTCTTCTGTTCATCTTTATTAAATGTTTGATCGGCTTTCATACCCCTTGTTAAAGAATGAGAGAAAAAATTTAAAACTAAAAAGAAATATAAATATCAATAAGCTAAAATACATGTTAAAAAATCAACGTAAAATTTGATGTAATTTTACAAATACCATCTATATCGACTCTCGACTCTATCACAACGTAAGAAAATTCAAATTATTCATAACGTAAGATCAATTATAAAATTTTGACTTATCCACATTTAAGTATGATTTTCTTATAGACTCTATCACATAAATTCTTAAGAATTATATTTTTTCTAGTAATCTTTTGAAACTTTAGATAATACTCTCTTTACACACGAAATCCAAAAGTATTAATAGTATTTCTCACATTACCCTATCGTCATAAAAGAAAAAAACACGAGATATTTATATTATAATCAAAATTTAATTATCAGATTTTTTTTTTCTTCACAAACACTGACTTCAATGTTCTTTATAGATATGTATTAAGATTTTTTTTACGAATACTAAACTCAGAGATATTTAAAAAATTTAAAATACTTTTCAATTCTAACAAATAATCACGTCGCAATGCCGTGCGCGAGCAAGCAAGGTAGTCAGTCACCTCAAGATGCTCCACACCTGGACTTCAGTGTGGTCGCTGAGTTGACCAAGTCCACCGAGTCGTGCTCATCACGTGTCCAAGCTGGTGGGTCAGTGCCAATGAACGATTGAACCAGCTGCGACTTCCAACGCGTTGGGTCAGTCCACTAAAGATCCAACGAAGTGATGCTTTCACAGCCGCAAGTTGGGTGAATGATCCAACAAGCTTGGAATATGATTGAATGATTCAACAAGACGAGTGGTGAGGCTGTGATCCTGTCTTTTGGGTTTTTGGTGATGGGTGGTATACCGGAGGATAGGCATGTAATCGACAACAAAGCTATTGCTATAAGAATTGGCTTGCTGGCTGCTACGAGGGAAGATGTGCATCTAATTCATGTTGAAGCTGAAGCTGATGCTGATGGTTTGATTCATATTTTAGGTAACAAGTGAGAAGCTCCTTGGTTTATTTTTTAGTGTATGCGAGGACATTTGTAGTCTCTACTTCAATATTTTGTGGAGTTTAGGGAAAGAAAATGTGTTGCTAACCGGCTAGTCAATTTTGGAAGGGTCCATAGGATCCAAAGTTTTTGGATGGATGTTTCGATAGCTCCTATAGGAGAGGTGATGTGATTCCTTTTCTGATCTAATAAATTTTTTTTAATCTTTGACAGAAAAACAAAAAAGGGGGTGGAGACGAGTGATCGTCTTGTCACAATAGCCATAGTTTCATGCTTATACAGAGAAACTAGTCCTTCGGATGCACTCAATTTTGATTGAGCTGGGAATGGTTGTGGAAGGAGGAGCGACGCCGTGGAAGAAGGTATGTAACTTCCTTCTCTTTAGGTATGAAAGATTATAGGCTCCTTTTGCATGCATAACCTTCGTTGCTTGTTTATGGAGCAGTAAGAGGCGGTCGTCACGTCGGAAGTGTTGGTGATATATAGCAGCTGAGAGTATATCTTCGGAAATGGATCCGATGACTTGGGTTATGCTGGGCAAATACCTGGCGTCTTTGTGCAAGATCCTGACCTCCGCTGTCTTCCAACGAGCGATAACAGCCATCAGGAAGAATCAAGGATCCAGCAGTATGGATATCGTATATGAGTTCGATAACCTGACGAAGGAGCTCAGGAGCATTCAGTCCTTTCTACGTGACATGGAGCATAGCAAACTCGACAGCGAGTCCCTGGTGAATTGGGTGGAGGAGGTGAAGGAAGCAGCGCGGGACTTCGAAGTCATGACGGAACAGATCGTCTACTACGCTCATGCACTGGTGTGGGATAAATCATGGAGCTCCAAGGCCTATGCCTACATTAGCAGCCATTTGCCCAAGCTCAAAGAAGAATTGGTAAACAATATTCCACAAAGAAGAGACCGATACCTGAAACCAAGCTTGGTGCGCAGAGAAGAACAAAGCTGCAGCAGTGGCCGTCAGATGAGGCAGCCCCATGAGGAGCTGCCTCACGAAACCACGTGCACTGACGTCGTGGGAATGGAACAAAACGAAGCCACAGTAATCCCATGGCTCCTGGGCGAGACTGACAATTCCCAGAGGAACATGGTGATTTCGATTTGTGGTATGGGCGGCCTGGGCAAGACTTGCTTGGCCTGGAGAATCTACAACAGCCAGCATGTCAAGAGACACTTCGATTGCTCTGCTTGGGTTTCCATCTCCAAAACCTACAACGCTGAAGAGCTGTTGCGAAGCATCATAAGGCAGATCATAGACAAGCGCAACCTGCCGGCGACGCCAGACGAGCTCGACCGGAGCAGCAGAGCAGCCCTACTAGGCCTACTCGACCAGTGCCTTCATCAGAAGAGGTACGTGATCGTGTTAGATGATGTGTGGAGCAGAAACGCATGCAATGACTTCTCTTATCTCCTGCAAAACGGTAAAATCGGCAGTAGGGTGATCGTCACCACAAGAGACCACCACGTAGCTGCCTCGCTATCCCTTGACAGCCATATCTTGAACCTCCAGCCTTTGCCTGAATCCGAAGCTTGGTCTCTTTTCTGTAAGAAGGCTCTCTGGACGGATCCTAATAAGTCTTGCCCCAGAGACCTAGAGATCTGGGCTCGAAGAATCGTAGCAAAGTGTGATGGCTTGCCTTTAGCTATCCTAACAATAGGAAGCTTGATGTCGTCCCAAGATCGGAGTTCTTTGACTTGGAAACACTTCTACCTTGGTATCAGCTCACAGTTGAGCAACAACGAGATGCTCGTAACCATGTCGCGCAGCTTGATGCTTGGCTACGATGATCTACCTTACCATCTTAAGCAGTGCTACTTGTACTGTGGTAATGTCTTCCCTGAGAGCCGCATCATCAAGAAAAATTGGCTCCTCAGGTTGTGGGTAGCGGAGGGACTCGTGGAGGACAAACGTGGAATGACATCGGAGGAAGTCGCAGAGGGCTACTTCGATGAGCTGATCCTTCGTAGCATGCTCCAAGTGGCAAGGAAGGATGAATCCGGCAAAGTCAAAGCCTGCCGAATGCACATCCTCATGAGAGAGGTATCCCTATGTGTATCCAAAGCCGACAAACTCTGTGCGGTTTTTGATGAGCAAGGTGTGACAGTAGATGAAGCCAAAGCGCGTCGCATATCCGTCCAGATCAGCATTGAGAAACTCCCCGCTGTCCGGCATGAGGAGAAGACCCCGTTATCTCGCCTTCGATCGCTTCTTTTCTTCGTTGATGACGAAGCTTCTGCTGCTGCTTTCCTAAGCAGGTCCAAATATCTTATGCTGTTGAAGGTGCTAGAACTGAGAAATGTTCCAATCGACCATGTCCCGTTTGAAGTGTTCGATCTGTTCAATCTGAGCTACTTGAGTTTAAGGGACACAAAAGTTGAAGTGCTCCCCAAATATGTAGAAAGACTTAAGATACTCAAGACCTTGGATCTGAGGGGAACCAAGGTGATTTGTCTTCCCGATGAAGTGGCTAGGCTCAAGGAACTGCGGCATCTGCTAATGGACTGTGTTTATGTAATAAAGAAGATAAAAAAATGGAGGGGTATAATTAATTTAGTATCTGATCAGGCAACCATGAGGAAGATCGACGAGCTACTGGATAAAAAAGTTCCAACAGGTACCATTTCGTGGATACATAATATAGAAGGCTTGCTGACTCTGAAAACAGTTGAAGCAGATAAAAGGCTCATCGCTAACCTGGCTGCGCTGAACCAACTGAGAAGCCTTGGTCTTACTAACGTGCATGCGGACGACGGGGTTCTACTTTGCGATTCCATTAGCAAGATGGGCCACCTTCTCTCTCTCACCATCGATGCGGCATCCGACGAGGCACTGATGTTGGACTCCCTGCCTTCTCCTCCACCTCACCTCCGCAAGCTTGTATTGGATGGGCAGCTGTGGAAAGTCCCTCCATGGTTCGATCTCCTAAGCAGCCTAACTCACTTGTACTTACTGGATTCTCAGCTGGAGGCTACCTGCAACCCCATTCCTCATCTTGAGAAACTAGAAAGTTTGGTGCACCTTACGCTGCTAAGGGCATACAACGGAGCGCGGCTGTGCTTCCGTGCTAACACGTTCTTGCGTCTGAAGTCACTTAATATTGCAGAGTTGAAATGCCTGAGTCAGCTGGACATGGAGAAAGATGCTCTGCCGAGCTTATCTTTGCTGCATCTTAGCCGCTGCGGAGATCTACAGGGAGAAAAACTTCATGGCATCGACAACCTTCCCGCTCTCCGCCATCTATACTTGCAAGATATGCCTGAAAGCCTTATGTCGAGCCTTGGAGGAGACCATCGACTGAAGGCGAGCACTGGCTGGGAGTCTATCTCAAAGTCGATGTCGTGGCTTTGACACAGAGGGCGGCACCTTCGGATCCCATGACTGAAGCCAAGACCACGATGTTATTCCTATTACTATATTTGCTCTTTGCTCAGTGATATTGTGTGTGGACTTGTTTTATTTTTCTGCCTTGTCTGAAGAATAACAGCAGAGCATGTTGTTGTGTTGTACGTTGCTTCTGCTGATTTGTGTTTTTCTATCGCCTGTAAGTTGTAATATTTGTATCTATAGTTGCAAGGAGCAAATGTTTGTGTTATTTGTGATTCTTATCTACAGGTTGATCACAACAATTTTGAGTAGGTTATATAGCAAACTTAATCCAAAAGTTGGTTTATTTTTTTTGAATTTCTTAGGAATAATTTATATATATTTTGTCTAATTAATATTTTTTTTATTTTTTAATATAATTATGTTGAAGACGTTAGCTATCTTACCTATCATAAGATACCGAGCTCCAATGTTGTCTTCTCTATTTTTCATTGATTGTGATTTGTAAAATATTATTGAGTATGGATTATTAAAATATTATTGAATCATAAATGATTTTGAAATGACAGAAAAGATAATTTCAAAAAGTAATTATTTTATCTACATGTCAAAGCCATGAATATGCCTTGTATTTATTGAATTAGATAGGAAGAAGAGATATGACTATTGGGAGAGTAGGACAAGACTAAATCTTTTATATTTCTTTCAAAACTCTTTATAACTTTAAAAACTCTATGTGTTTCATGACCCAACATATAAGGTTTATATAATCTCCATATATACATTATATTAATTATATTTAAAATGAATAATTCTTTTTCAAAAAATCCTTTCAAAAATTAATAGTCAATTTGATTTGTCTTGTGTTTCTCTTGATATAATGAACCTCTCTCTTGATACAATGAACCTTTTTATGATACCTTATGAAGTTTAATTTTAACATTCTCTTCCCTTAAACTTGTTTCATCTAACATATCAAGTTGCTTTTGAAGTTGTTGAAATATTTCAAATTTGAGAGGTTTTGTAAGTATATTAACCACTTAGTTCATTTGTCTTGACATAAAATAGCTCTACTTATTTGTTTTTAATATGATCTCTTATAAAATAAAATCTTGTGACGATATGTCTCGATCTAGACTAGATTTTTGGTTAAGACAATAGTTGATTTGTTATCAATATAAATCTTGGTTGACTTCTCCTGTGACATATGAAGTTCTTAGAATAATCTTTTTTAGCTTGCATGACAAATATAAGAAGATGTTGCTATATATTCTACTTCATAACTTGATAGAGTAACAATATATTATTTTTTTGAAGATCATGTAGCTTCACCAAAATAAAAAAACAAATTCGACTACACTTTTTCGATCATCATAGCTTTTGGTCTAATTATTGTCACTATATCCAATAAACTCCAACCTTTTAGATAATGAATAGAATATTTCATTCTTAATTATCAATTTAATATATTGTAAAAAATTTCTAGTGACATTTAAATAACATGTCTTAGGAGCTTCTATATATCTACTTATTAAACCAACTCCAAATTATATATCAGATCGAGTGCATGTCAAATACCTTAAACATTCAATTATACTTTTATAATAAGTTAGATTAATGTATTTACCTTCACATTCCTTAGTCAACTTGGTACCATATTCCATAAGTGTATGTAGGATAATAATCTTCTATACAAAACTTCTTTAGAACTTCCTTTGTATAATTTTCTTGTGAGATAAAAATTCATTCATTATCTTGTATAATTTTAATAATGAGAAAATAAGTTTTTGTTGGAAAATATGGGATGACATCACATGTGCAGGAAGAATAAAAATAAAAATCCCAAATTTTCACAGAAAAATAGTCTTTTGTTTTCGTGCAAAGATTGGTGTACAAAAACTCATAAAATCGAAAAACTACATAGATGTGTGTTACCTAAGGAGATTGTATATCCATATATTTTTGCAGATCTATGAGAGAGGATGAAGGAGGTTAAGTGTCCTCCTCTTTAGCGCGGTGATCCACATAGTAGAGGCTGTGAAGACTCTCATCAAATTATTGCTCAAATCTCCTCGTTGCGTGCACCACGTAATCAAGAAGGGGCCGACCCTTTTTGTTGTCCACACACCCCAAATAGAGGCTGCTGGCTGAGGAAGAGAAGGGGAGAGGAGAATAGGAGGTGGCAGCCAAAAAAAGCATAGCTTATGACCCTTTAGTTACATCCTATTTATAGAGGCCCTCTGTTAACTAAACCCTAATAGATCCTGTCCTATTGGGTATTGGATCTCCAACCAACTATCCAGGCCTCTTAGATTAGTGGATCTCTACCCAATAATCTCTCGTTGGCTCTTATTGGATCTCATCCATAGGATCTAATAATTCAAGAACTTATTGGATATCCAATAAGATAGGGGCTCTAGTAGATATCTCATATCCAAACCTCTACTCATCGCAACACCTACCATATATATGACCCTCTAGACCCAATATCGAGCTGGTTATGAGTCAGACCTATTAAAACTCTTTTTGGCTTAGTGAATTATTATCTCTATAATAATTCGCCGACTATGGATGTACTATACCACTACGCTGTAGTCCCTAGACGATATAGAAAAATCCAATTCATTGGACCTATTTATCCTTAATTACCGTGTACTTATAGTCCCTCATCAATCTAATATCCTAGAGATTATATACCGGGCATGGTGCTGTTAGGCTCACACGGTTCCTACTCGAGTTTCACTCTAATCGGATTCTCCCGAAGAATTCTCTCTCTCAATCTGAATGACATTGATTAGAGATTTGTTTGAGCAAAAATATATATAATATTCCTTTCGTGATACTAAGAGTGAATGATCCTTTATCGATATTCAATTGCCCTCGTAAGGTTGGCTGCCACTTCCGATGACCTGGTTGTGCTAAATCTGAAACTTCCAAACCTATAAGTATGATATCAAAGAGTCGAGTACTCATATAGAACATTCTTAATATCTTAAGTCTAAGGACCAGGTACACCACTGGGATGGTGGAATCATTATTTGACAATGAGGTATCATCAACCATTCAATATTCCGTGAGCGGATCAATTAGTGAACTCATTTTTCAATGAGCACCTGCACTGTATCTATAGTGTTTCCGCACAAGGAACAATAAGAACAACCACCTCCATCATATGGACAGGTATACAGTATACCAGTCTATCCGGTTATATCAATGTCCTTCTCGAGTAACCTATAACTAGGATTATTTAGGGTCTATAATTAAAGGTGAATCGGTATTATTATTATGATCTCATTACGATCCGATTCCTATTGTATAGATCCATGGACATCGCAATATATAATATATAATGTAAAGTGAAAAAATACTAAATAAATAATAAACAAAAAGAGTGTGTATCATGTCACACATGCCATCACTCACGTGATTGACTTACAGGATACCTATGACTAGCAATCTCCCACTTGATGTAAATCCAATCACCAACGTCTCTAATCCCCATCAGACCCTTGTGATGCTCGAAGATAATATGAGATAATGGCTTTATTAGTGGATCTACGATGTTATCTTCGGATGAAACTCTTTCCATTGTTATATCTCCTCGGGCGACGATCTCTCTAATCAGGTTGAACCTCCTCAGAATGTGCTTAGGCTTCTGATGAGACCTGGGTTCCTTTGCTTGAGCAATCGCTCCGTTATTCATAATATAAGGGACTTAGATTGTATTAGAGTATTATGCAATGCTTTGATACCACTGTTGGAAAATTTGGGGCGACATCACATGCGCAACGAAAGAACATAAACAAAAATCCCAAATTTCTCGTAAAAAAAAGGTTTCTTATCATCGTGCGAAGATTGGTATGTAAAAACTTGCAAAACCAAAAAAATCGCACTTGTTAAGAGATTTGTGTTATCTAAGGAGATCGTACATCCCTAAAGTCTTGAAGATCTGTGAGAGAGGATGAAGGAGGTCAAGTATTCTCCTCTCTAACAGTAATCCACACGTAGGGGCTGTGAAGACGCTCCTCAAGATGCTCCTCAAGTCCTAAAGAGCTGGTTATGAGTCATACCTCCCGATGATCAGTTATGCTAGATTTGAAACTTCCAAACTTATAATTCTGGTATTAAAGAGTGGAGTACTCATACATGATATCTTTATTGTTTCAAAGTCTAAGGACCAGATACACCACTAGGACGATGAAATTACTATCTAACAATGATGTATCATCAACCATCCAACATTCTGTAAGTGGATCAATTAGTGAACTCATTCTCCAATGAGCACCTACGCAGTATCCCTAGTGTCCTTCATTATATGGACGGGTATACAACACATCAGTTTGTTTGGTTATCTCAATATTCTTCTCGAGTAACCTATAATCGGGATTATTTAAGGTCTGTGTTTAAAGATGAATCGATCTCATTATTGTGATATCATCACGATCAGATTCTCATTGCATAGATCTATGAACATCACAATATATATATATATA